ATTTCTTTAGCTAATTTGAGCTCCTTTCTTCTCGAGAACACTTTCTTCTTCAATCGTCACTTCCTCCTCCGACGAGAATCTCGATATGGTTTACCGATCCATCTTCGACTTCATCGCCGAACCTAATCGCTCCCAGTCATAAAACCTCAACTTACGATTTGACGATTGCTTATGTCGTGACTGTCTCTTAGCTTCAGCTTCAACACTTCCGAGAAAGAAGCATCAAGAGAAACGTACCATTGTTTCTCTTTCTGACTTTTGGGCATTTATGAACTTAGCCCAAAAAACAAAATATTCATTAATGGGAGGACAGGCCCATCTTGGCCCAACTGAAGAAAGAAAAAAGAATTTGTCGTGACCCATCTTTTCTCTTCTTCTCACCGTCGCTCACCATCAAACTTTCTCCGGTGAGAATCTCGGTGCTCTCCGGTGACGCCTTGGTCACCACACCTCCGCGACTCTCTCTCACCGCGTGTCTCTTCCTCGACAGCGAAACCCGAAGCTTCTTCTCCGACTCGTTCTGCTTATGACAGTGCCGTCTGCTCTTTCACGACGTCATCGGAAGCTCGAGCCACTCCACCGTAATCTCAGCCTTCTCCGGTAAGAATCTCCACACTGTCTCTGTCATCGAACTCTCTGAGAATCACCTGAGCTCGTGACAAACATCCTCTGTTAGCATCCGAGATTTCAACAGAAATCTCTATCTTCCTCCATCTTCTCTCTCAATGCTTCAGCAGATCTAGTTCTTCTTAGATGGACAAGACACGCCGTCTTCTTATGAGATATAATCTCTAAATCCATCGTTCTTCTCTAGAGCTGCACTTCCCGAAGCCATTGCTTATAAAGGTGTGATCTTTCTTGACAAAGCTTACATTTTCCTTGTAAAGCTTGAATCTTTCTCACCGAAACTTGAAGATTCTGGATAAAGCTTGAGTCTTTCAGCACTAACCTGTGCTCTGATACCATTTGTTAAGGATTCTTCGCCGACCTTAGACAGCCCTCAAGCTTTATGCTATGTCACACACACACCAAACATCATAACAGACCAAGCAATATAGAGAGAAAGAAGAAGATAAAACAGAGCAGAGAAGAGGGAAGAAGAGAAGCACACAAACGATTGTTCACCCTGAGTTCACCAAGTTGGCTACATCTCAGGGGAGGGAGACTGTCCCCCAACTGCATCCACTAATAGAAGAAGATAACAGAGATTACAAGTGATTCACTCTCAAGACTCACTCGTCGGCCACTCTCTGTTCTACTTGAGAAAATCCCACCCAAAGCTTAAGCCTTTACATGTTTTCTCTCACCCTTCTATCTCCTAGAGCTACATTGTGTCTATCTTCTTGTGGCTTCCTATCTCTCATGTCTTCATATCACTTTATATATGGGAGACAACCTCAAACCCTAGTGCAGCTAGCAAACGAGTCCTCATCTTATTCACAAGAGGACAAAGTATCCTTCTTGACCATGAATTCAAATGATCCTCCTTGTGGTCCCAAAAGCTCTTCTAACTTTAGTTAATATAATCAACCTTGGTTAGGACTTGAGTTTACCTTTGGTTTGCACATGATCCTTGTTTGGTTGCTCATCAAGTTCTCATATCTTCACAGTTTCAATTATGTTCGATTAGGTAGAGACTTTGCCATAAACAGTTGATCCAAAACCTTGAACATACCTAAGGTTGGCTTATCCTTTATGATTTTTTTTATGAAGTTGCACTCCAAAACTTAATATGATGGTAACTCTAGACTTTCATTGCTTCTTCTTTAGAGCTTAATTTGTCTTCTTTTTTTACTTGATGTGTCCCTTGTCATGTCTTAGCCATCTAGAGTCTTCTGAGTTAACTCTTTGCTTTGTCTTGCGTTTAATTTTTTTTTCTCTTTTCTTGTACGTATGGTTTGTTTTACTTGGAGAGTTTCTTGCACTTAAGACGAAAAATTACAAGATACTTGCATACCAACTCTAGATCTAGAGGACTTTTCCACAAGCTTAACCGCCAATTGTGTTTAAAGGATTTTTTTGCGGTTAGGAATTTCTTACGGACATGATTTTGGCGGAGCGGGTAAAAAGCTCGGTTTAACATCCCTAATAACTAATATTGGTGATCGATCAACAAAAGTTATGTATCAATATTTGGCTTAGCTGAAAGTCTACTAGTATATCAGAAAAACTAAACACAAAAACACCAAAATCCATACACAACATGCGTTAAGCCGTTAACATGTTTGGTCGAGTCAAATGATCAAATAGCACCATCCTTCTCTGTCACGCCTAAATGTGCGGATACCAATAAACATATTTAAAAAATACTTACATGGATGAATCAAAAACGTTTGAACAATGGCCCAACGTTCAATAAACTTTTTTTAAGTTTTCGAGGTTTTTAAAAGACGCAAAGAATTTTAGAGTCTTACTATTAGTTATTACGACATGGTCACATGTCTAAACATGAGAAGGAAAAGCCATGTGAATGGGACCCCTCCTACTTGGAAAACAGAAGGCAACAATATAAGATTCAATTCAATACCGACCTTCCAATTTCATTGTCTATCTTCAATTCAATTCAACCCAACTTGGACCCCAAGATCAGCTTCTCCATCTTTTAGCGCGTGTCATCCACGCTCCAACATACATTTATCTCTATTTTTAGGCATGGGCAATTATAACGATTCGGACAGAATCGGAATTTCGGTAATTTGGTATGGTTCGGTTTTGGTTCAGCATAAAAACCGATCAGAATTTGAAAAATTTGGTAACCGGTTTGGTTTTGTAACTGATTTTTTTTTTTTTTATAATTTTTCCATAATTTTCAGAATTTGTCATCTATAGAAATGTACCAAAATATAGAAGTATACCAAAACAAACCGTTTTGGTTTCAATTTGGAATCCATAATTTTTTTACGTTCACCGAGTCAAAGTTTATCACTTCCAAATCAAACCGAATAGAACCGATCTAAAATTCGATTTTGACTAAAAATTTGGGATAAGAGCCAGTGGAAGAAATGCCTTAAAAAATGTAAGGAATTTTTGAACCGAACCGGACCAAACTTAGCGAATAGCCAAATCGTGTTGTATGTGAGAAAAAAATATTTTTAAATGAAAAAGCCACCGCTAATTCTTTTGAAAGATTCAACTTGATAGATTACACGTAAAGAAACGAATTCTAAAAACTTTGTTGGATTGATTCTCTTCTAGAACCTTCAAAACTTTCGGTGATATGTCAATATTTTTAAGATTACCGTTAAATACGGAAAAAAAAAAACATATGAATTACTTGTACATGACTCTATCATGCGAGTGAGTATCTGACATTTCCTATCTCCTAAGTTTAGCAAATTGTCATGACTTTCACGCTAACGAAAAAGATCTAAACTTTTTTTTTTGTCATCCGAAATTAATTAAAATTCAAAAGAGCCATTCCTGAAAAATGTTGTTTACATATGTGATATGTTGCAGTTCTGTACGAACTTTTCGTGCCAGATTATCCGCTTTTACATTAGCGCTACGAGAAATTAAAGATAAAAAAAAGGTAGAGAATTCTTTCTTGTCACTCTGAAATTCCTCCAAATACACTGAAAACGCCGGCCATTCGGTTGGAGAAGACACCATCTTCACCAGGTCAGAACAGTCTGTAAAGAACGCTACCTCTTGATTATCTGCACCAATCATGCACTTCATCGCCCAGAGAAGGGCCTCGGCTTCTGTATGTAGGGGAGATAGACTTCTACGGAGGTTGGCAGCTCCCATGGTTGGCGGTTCTCCACTTGATGATGTACAGAACCATCCTATACCGGAGAACTTATCACTTCCTTTCCATGATCCATCCACAAAACAACGGTACCCCGAATGAGTCGAATCAAGTGAAGCATCCCTTACTCGAGATCGAGTTACCAAATCCACAGAACCCTGATTTTCGTTAATAAGCTCGATTTGAGCTGCATGCCACAATTGTGCCTCTTTTTCCGCTAACCGTAATACCTCTAGTGGATCATTGTCTATATTTTCAAATATTTTCTCATTCCTTGCTTTCCAAATATACCAGATAATCCATGGAAAAACTGAGCAATCAAATTCCGAAGGTATTCTCCAAAATAAATGATCCAAGTTCGCAAAAATAGATTATGTGGGAAAAAAACCCATACCCGTGGGAATCTGTGAAAGCGCCCAAATCTGTCGTGCCGGGTGGCACTAGAAGAGTGTGTGATTAATTGTTTCCTCTAGTGCACCACATCTGGCACAACCTGTATCACAGTCAATTCCTCGTTTCCGCAAATTTTCCGTAACCGGTACACAACCCGATTTAACAGTATACTTTCCTGATTTTGTAAAATGTCAACCCATAGTATCTTCCTTAGTTAGCGCACCCACATGTAGGGCACTTATTATCTCGACATCTTCTGGAGCAAAGGTCGCCTGTAAGAGATCAATATTCTAAAAGTTTGACCGACTATCTATAAGATTGATAACTTTTAAAGATGGATCAACAATGGACCCATTACTTTTTGCTGGTCTCGGGAATTGAGCTGGAATCCAGGGATCCTCCCAAACTGAGATGGATGACCCAGATCCGACTCTTTTAATAAGTCTTTTATTAACCAGAGATCTAGCTGAACATATACTCCGCCATCCATATGATGGAGAGTACGATTTTATATTTTCCAAATGATTGGATTTCCGAAAATACCGCCCTTTAAAAAACTTTGCGAAAAGAGAATCTGGAACCGTAATCAACCGCCATAATTGTTTTGCCAATAAAGCAGAATTAAAATCGTCTACATTCCGAAATCCTAACCCCCTTCCGATTTACTGTTAGACAATTTATTCCGAAAAAGACCTAAACAAGAAGAAAAAAAAAAGGAAAAAAAAAATCTAAGCGCGTGGTATCTCACGCGCCAAAGAAGCAACTTGGAAATTGGAAAAAGCCACTCAAATTCTTCACGCTTTCCTTTATTCAACACGGTCTCTTTGCATATATAAACAAAACCTTCTTCGTCATTCTAAATAAAACACATAAAAATCTTTCTAAAGTTCGAAACATCTCTCTCTCTCTCTTTCTCTCTCAAAAGATTTCAAAGTCTCTTCTCTTATTTTTTATTCGATAATGAATTCTATGTTTAGTGCCTTCGACGCTCTCTTCGCAGAACTCATGGGAAAGAACCTTATGGCTTCTCCGTTTAATGCTACTACCGCCACGGCCAAACCAGCCGCCACACCGCAAACGCAAACGCAAACGCAGAAGAAGGAAAACGCAAGTATCAAGAAGGTTGGTTTGGTGCAGAAGACTCCGAGGTTTGCTTTGGAGCTTGATGGTCTTCACTGCTTTGAAACAATAGTCCGTTCTTGATTTGATTTGTTCTTGGTTCTTGGTTTCAAGATCAGAAACTTAGAATCTGAGTTTCTTGTTATTTTTTTTTATTGTATTAATTCATTATAACATGTGATTGTGAATACGTTTTGGATTATTGATCGATTTGATCCGGTTATATATACTACTTCTTGATTCTCAGATTTGTGTTCAATTTCTCCGGTTCTGGCTAAGATTGCTCAAACTTCTTTTTTGGAAATATATCAAATCAGACAAGTTATATTCTGAAAATCGACTTCAAAGTAAACAATTAAAAAGATCTTAATATGTTTAAATTTAAGAACCTATTAACATGAATTGAGAGTTTGAAGTTTAAAGCAAAAGGAGAAAAAAAAAAAAAAAGTGAAGTTTGAACCAAACCAAAAGCGAGATTAGGCTACCCTACTTGATGAAGTGGCGTAGTTAAAGTTCATGATTATTTGATTTCTCTTTAAAAGATAATTAAATAAATTGACCTTTAATCAAATGGTTGAGGCGGTTGAAACGAACAAATCCGTTTGCAAATTAGATCTTTTTTCTATGCAAGTAAGGGTATGGCGAAAGAGGTTATGGCAGCACATTTGGCTTTATCAGAGAGGAATGGTCAAATCGTGAGGGAGGAAAGACTAATTCGGTGGATTCATCCGAGAGATGACTGGGTAAAACAGAATACGGACGGTGCTTTCTGAGGGAATCCGGGGCTAGCGTCTGCAGGTGGTGTACTGCAGGATGGTACGAGGAGTTGGTATAGTAGGTTTGCGCTGAATATTGGGATTTGCTCCGCCCCACTAGCAGAATAATGGGAAGTATACTATGAGTTATATATTGCATGGGAGAGGAGGGTGACACGGTTGGTTGGAGTTGGAGGTTGATTCAGAGATAGTGGTTGGTTTTTTAGTTCGGAGATTAATGAAACACACCCGCTGTCATTCCTAGTATGTTTGTGCTATAGCTTCTTATCACGGGATTGGATTGTCCGTGTTTCTCATGTGTATAGGGAAGCTAATCGTCTTACCGACGGTTTAGCCAACTATGCGTTCTCCCTACCATTGGGATTTCATATGTTGACAGCTATGCCTGATGTGGTACGTCCGATAGTGTTAAAAGATGCTCAAGGAATGGCGATAGCTCGAGAGATCCGGGTGTAGCGTCGATTTTTCTAGTTTGTTTCTGTTTTTTTTTATTTAGTTCTTTTTTTCTAGTTTGTTGTGGGAGATTTGTCTCCTCTTTCCTTACCAAAAAAAAATTAGATCTTGTTTTATTTATCATCACTCATAAATTACAGATAAAAAAACAAAACAAAATTATGTAAATTAATTACAGACCATTTTTATTTAAAAATAAATTTAGTCGGCTACGAATTATTATCTATTCTAATCATAAAATGGTTTAGTCCATTAACGATATAGTGTATTTTATCCCCAACATCCATTCAAAGCTTAAACAAACAAATTAGCAAGATGGTGGAACCATTTTTTTGGATGCTTTTCTTTTTGTATTTAATTTAACATTATATTACAATTCCTGACATAAATAGGTTCAGTTTTGCCAAGGTGCTGGTGGTTGGATATATATGGTATGAACATGAAAATATTTTTGAACAGAACAAAAAATGAACTATTCAAACAAAACCTAATTGTAAAAACCATCACCAGATCAAATAATCAGAATTCACACTTTCAATTTCAATGATGAATCCTACAAGCATGTATCGAGCTAAAGAAATAATAGATAATTTAAAGCTTGTAGTTGAAATTTCACCAAATATTGTGGTTGAATAACTTGAAATATATGGTTTATTCTACTAATTGGTAAAGATAATAGGCGAAGCTTATAAGTTATTGGTTCGAATGACGTTTGGGGCAAAACTAATATTACATGCAGTGGTTTCGAATCTGGAGAAATACGGGATTTGGTCCAAAAAATTTTGATATTAAAAAAAAAATAGAGAATTACATGGTTTATTAGACTATTATAAGTTTTTTTAAAAAAAGTTTAATTCGTTAATAGTTAGTTTTAAAAAGTTTAATTCGTATTAGCTACCTAATTCTAACGGTAAGACTTTTGATTTGTAAAGTCAATAATAGTGCTCTTTTTTTTTTTTTTGGTTTGACATCGAGTCAATAATAGTGTTCTCAAAATAGTTGTTATTGAACTGCATTTGTTTCACACTAGAAAACAAAGGAACATAAATCAAAAGTCAATGTTCTTATAAACATTTTCGGCAGTACTATAAAAAGCTATCGAAAGACACTTCTAGACTTATAGTCACTATTCACCCACGAAGATTTTTGTGCCTGGTTTCGCTCTAATTCATTTTCATGATGGAGATGGCATGATGGTGTTTGTTGCTTTGCTCTTTTTCGGATTGATCATGCTCTCTGTTCTGTTGTGTTGTTGCTGTTTGAGCCTTCAGTTTCGTTTTTCTTCGGGATTGCCGGTCTATTGGAGTTTGCCTGTTTGGTTGGCTCTTCTGAGGCTCATGTTTCTTGGTTTCAGCTCTGACGCCAACCGTTACTCTTGGATTGTTTGCGGGTTTTGATGGTTTCGAATCTCAGATTTAGGTCTTTGGTTCCTTTTGAGCTTACCTTCTTGTATTTTTTTGCTTATAGTTTGCTTCTCTCTTTTGGGTTTAGTTTTCCGGGGATATTTATGTTTTCCGCCGGTTAGTTTCCGAAGAGTTTCGACTCTTGTCGGTCTTGTATTTCAAAACCGTATTCTACCTCGGTATAATATAATGGAATCATTAAGATGAAAAAAAGACTTATAATCACTATTCAAGAGAGTGATGTAATTGCAAGATATTGCGTAAAGCAGTTGTTTATGAGAAAAAACACTATATGATATTGAAAAAAAAAAAAAAACACTGATATTTGGAGAGTTCTTTTTTTTTGTCTGAAATTTTTTTATAGAAACACATATGAATTACAAAAGTGAAATACAAAGCTGGAGTAACAAATAACCCAAAAACTTAAACCAACGATAAAAAGAGATATTTTGAGGTTTAGGTAGTTGGTTTTCTTTAGTGCTATAACTATATATTATGTTGCAATTATGGAGAATATATTGTAATTGTGTGACTACTTTTGCAACTAAATTTTTTAACTTCAACGGCAGTAGCTAATTTATCTCAATTTGTAATTATTTTGTGAATACAAATAAAAACTCGATTATTAGTCTTAAAATAGTTTCGAATTAGAGACTATTCACCCACGAAGATCTCCTGTCGTTTTTCTACAATATTTTTAGCTTTTAAAAACTCTGTTATCGTTTATTTGTCGTAAAATAGTCACACTAGATCGTATATAACGCATGTTTACTTGTCCCCTTAAAGAAATTGGTTTACCCTTTGTTTTTTTTACCTTGCCCGGTACTTTTTTTAGATTTAAATTTATTTTGATTCTTTTTACAAACCAAACAAATCACCAAATTTTGGTTGAGTTTATTTGTTTTCCTACCCAAACAAATGACCTAATTTTTTTTTTTTCAAAAGGAACCAAATAAAATAAACAATATTAACTCTTTTTATAGACTAGTCTTTATGAACCAAATAAATCCAACCAATTCAACCCCTAACATTTATCGGAATAACAATTTACTTTTTTAGTTGACCTTGAGAGAATCATAAAAGACATAATCACAAAAAAAAAAAGCCACAAACCAATTCACATTCCTCTTCGATAAAAAGGTTACCAACTTACCATTAATTAATTAGATGATAGATAAAAATTAGGTTCACCAAAGTGGAACCTAAACAATTCGTAAGGTCGTCTTTGTCAAATCGCCACCTCTCACGCTTAACCAATTGAAAAAAATTTAGGTCAAACTCGCGTTTGTTCACACGCTTTTAAAACAACAACAAATTTTTTTTTGGAAAATTTCAACTTTGGACTAACTCGGATCCAACCCCTGTTCTAAAAATCCCCGCCTAGACCCGATTACTCCCCGCTTAATCGCTAGGCCCACCCTATCCGCCTCGATTAATGACTAATCCCTTAAAGAAATCAGTCACCCGATTACTCTCCGTCTAATCCGATTACTTCCCGCCTAATCCGATTATTCCCCGCCTAATCCGATTATTCCCCGCCTAATCTTACATACCCCGATTATTTTTTAAATTGCTAGTATAAAAAAACTTTTTATTTTTGTTATTCAATCATTTGAATTGGGAGTTTGTAATGTTTTACAATAATTTATGTTCAAATTTTAATAAAAATCATAAATTTGTAATAAAAATCATAAAATTTGTCTCAAAAATACATTTTTATGTGTTTACTGCAATTTTGAAAATAATATTAGATTAATATGTTTTAAAAATATTAAAATAACCCTAAAACTAATCCCCGATTAATCCCCGATTTTAATCCGATTTTCCGATTAATCGCTAAGCCCATGCCGAGCGCCCGACTAGCGCCTAGCGATTTTTCAAACAAGGGATCCAACTAGGATTCTTCTCTTTCCTTATCCAACACGGTCTTGTTTCGTCGCGTCTTTATAAAAACTAAAACTCCTATATAAACAAAAAAAAACCAAACCTTTTTTTTTTTCTTATTCAATTGTTGTTCTTTTCACACAAAAAAACCATCAAAGATCTTTTCTTTTTTTTTTTCTTCAATTCTTGTGACAATAATGAATTCGATGTTTAGTGCCTTTGACGCCATGTGTGCAGAGATTATGGGAAAGAAAGTCACCGCTGCTTCTTATGTCTACCGCTCTGAACGCAATTCTGCTTCTTCTTCCGGCGGTGGTCAAAACGCGTCTTTGTCGCTCAAGAATGATGAAAAAGCTTCCAAGAACATGGATTTACCGACGAAGACACCGAGGTTTGCTCTTGAGCTTGATGGACTTAATTGCTTCGAGACTATAGTTCGTTCTTGATCAATATCAAGATTACGAATTTTTGCTGAGTTTTTTCTTTTGTTTTTTCTTGTTTTGATTCCTTTTATGTAAATACAATTTTGGAAAATTCAATTTTCTTGATTACAATCATCATCATTATGTGATTGTTTAATTTCGAATTACTCGTGTTCTGCTTTATAAATTCATGAATTTGTATATATAATATAAAGAAAAAGAAAAGAATTTTTGTTTCTGTTGTTCAAGAATCGATTCTTCAAATCATGAAGGATCAAACTTTGCAAGAATTTAGGGTTTATGAGGCAAAAATTGGGGCTTAGAATGTTAAACACGGAACATCAGTCATAATCAGAACCTATACTAATGATCTATAAGAAGAAGAAGAAGCTGAAACTATACATTACAGAGAGAATTTTAGAAACTTGTGTGCCAAATTGCTCCATCGCCTTCTCCACAACGTTGATGTACTTCAAGCATTCTATCCACAGATTTGCAGATTCCGCTACAGCTCCAATCGAACGATGCTGCGCAAGGGTTTCCTGCTTGACCCTTCCACTCACAATCTGCATACAGAATAAAAGTTACCAACTTGATTCTTGAATGTAATCTCAATTGCTTATTTGATGTGGTATGAGCCAGGTTTTGTGTTTACCCAAGGGTGTTCCGCAGCAGAGGCTTCGATCATCGATATGTTCAACATCGAGACCGATGAACCAAGAACCTAAAGAGACGTCTTCATTTGCATACTTGTGAAGTAGTTGCCTGAAAAGAAGAAGGTGAAATTGTGTTAACCAACCTGTTTAGGATTTGAGAAGAGACTATGTGAAACGATTGTAAAGAAACCGAGCTGAGAGAGCTCACCGGTTTACTGAGATATAAGTTGCTAAATCTTTGGAGATGGCATAGATTTGTCCAGTTGCATGTCTGAAGTATTTGTTTCCTTCTTCACCAAACTTCCAATATTCTGGCTCATGGTATTTGACTCCTCTGCAACACATTATCCGGAAAAAAAGAGTCAACTACCTGTGTAAAAACATGATCTTGTGACAGACTTTGTTGCTTACTTTTGAGCAAGGACAGGTCCAGACTTCATGCAACCAATGTACACTCGCGGTTTTGATCTGTGGCGTGCCAATGTAGAACCAAGCATCCCTGGATGATAAGTAAAGTTTCATTTAGCTTTTCTTGGAACAGTATTAATATGATTTGAAAGACATGAACTGACCGAGATTTACGTGAACATCATCATCCACTTTGATGTAGAAGTCTGCATCCCATTTTGCAACAGCAGATGAGAAGTATATTTGAGTTTTAGATGATAATTCATGATAACCTTCTATGTGGTTCTGCAAAATTTTACTTTTGATTAACTAACGGCAAAAGGACAGAGCAATATAAGCATGTGGACAAGCGTATTTACCAGGCGAAAGAAGTCCTTATGTTGTTCTTCTTCAGCTTCAATGGTGTGGTCCAAGACTCCTCCAGGAGAAGAACTATTAAGAACAATTGACAATATGTCAATATCAAATAACAGTAAATATTTAGTCAATGTTTCAAACCAAAGACAATGTCAAATTGTACCTGTGACCTATGACAAATCTCATAATGATTCCCTTCTCTGTCTCTAGCCTTTTCAATTCATCCCCTGCAAAAGAATGAACAAAGAAAAAATCTTTTTAACACTTTTGTAACATCTGCTAGGGAAAAAGAAGAGGTGGTTTGTTCTTGTTGAGAACCTTTAGGAAGCCAGGTTCCTCTTATTGAGTCTCTTCGTTTTCTGCTACTGAAAGCAGTCATGATTCCCATCACAAAGAACATCCGAGGCCGAATCTTCGATTGGTCTGCTACTGATTTTGCAACAGCTGGAGATCCATCTCTACCGTCAGATCTTGCTGCTCGAGCTGAAGCTAGTTCTACTTCAAGAGAAGAAATTGTCTTGTCCAATGTCCTGTAGATAAAATGCATACTCAATAAATCTACTGTATAAAGCAATCTCTCATATCAAAACATGTCTCAGTGAGATCAAGAAACGTACTTGATAACATCATGAGTATGCGAAACTCGAGATAGAATGTCTCCTTCCTGATTAAAAGAAGCATGCCAAACTATGATTAAATGGACAAAACTTGGAACAAATCAGGTAACGTTAACACACAATGTCATCTACTCTACCTTACTCTCACAATCAATAAGAGGATGAAGTGACCTAGCTTGATCATTCGGCTCAGATGAACCTTTCTCAATGCCATCTACGGTTTCAAAACTTGCCAAAAGCCTAAAGAAAGAATAGATGCAAAATCAGAAGCTAGGACATTAAAGTGTTATACATCAGCCTAATGGCTTAAAAGCTCAATATATAACTAGTTGGATGGGTGAAGTAAATTAACAATTGAGTTTGTTTTATCTTCTGAAATTGTCTAACTGTGACAAAAGATCAAGCTTCTTCTAGGCACTGAACGTCAGAACCAACGAAAAGCAAACTTGTAATAAGAACTAAAAGCTACTAACACAAAAGAAGAATCACAACAAAGAAAGAAAAAAACATAATCTTTTCATTAGAGTAAGCCAGCTTTACGCAAAATTCTGCATAAGAATGTTCCAGATTCACCAATGTGGAGACAGATATACAGTAGGAGGAACAAAGTTGCAAACTTTAAAACTACATCTAAAGGAAATCCCCTAAATTTCATCAACAGTAACAGTAACAGCAGAATTAAAAAAAGCTGCTTCACATGGAAACAAGAGTCAAGATTCCACAGCATTAGCATTGAAGAATCTAAAAGATAGAGGCAGAGAGAGTGAGAATTAAAGAACCTGTTAACAACAAGAACACCAAGAAGGAAGCTAGAAATACAGAGAACAAAAACCCATCTCGCTGAAACACCAGAAGTTGCAGATTTCTGATACCTTCCCATTCCCATTTTTTCTTATTGAGAGAAGAGGAAAGCTAGTTTCTTTATTTTTAAGGTTGTCTTAGCGAAAACAACAGGTGAACTCATCAAAACGACATCATCGTCTTCCGTAATTGATTCCTCCTTTTCTTTCTTTTTATCTTTTTTTTTCATTACTCTCTGAATTTTGCAGTAGACTAACTTTAAAAAAAAAACAAGAAAAGGTGAGTTTTAAAATATTTTTTAAGTGCTTTGTTTTTATTTTCGAATATGTGTTTTTTTGGTTGATCAATCAAAAGTCATTATTGCTGGCGAAAGGAGTCGCGTGATTCGCAGCTTCACTGTTCTGTTCTGTTCTGTCCGTCCCAAGACAAAAAATGCGAACTTCCAAATTTGCCCCTTTATTCTCTACAACACCAATTTTGGTTTCTTTCTGATTTTAGATACTCTGCAACGGTTATATAACTTATCTTCACGAATTTACTTACGAAAAAACTATATTGTATGTACCAAAAACAAAAGTTATTATACATATATTTTACTATATATTATAATTTTCCTCGTTATGCATATATTTTTCTCTTTAAAATAAACTTTTTTAAAAAAATTTGAATTTTTTATTTGTAATTTTTAAATTATATATATAATTTTAATTACGTTGACAAAAAAAGGATAACTAGATAAAAATATAAAATCATTAATTGATTTCTGCCTTAACTTATGAGTTATGACCATCCTTCTTCAATAGTGAATTTATCAATACTAGCGTTCAATTTTCAAATTTTGTTTAATTGTTTTTTGTTTATATATATATATATATGTATGTATATATTTAATTTTGTTAAATTATTAAAAAAAAAATACAGTACACCTAAACTCTATCAGTTCACATTTGACAAAAAATAAAAAAAACTCTATCACTTCACGGGACAAATGAAAATAGGTAGAATCACAAAAAAAAAAAAAAAAAGGTAGAATCTCGAATATAGCAGGTTTAATGGGTCTTTTCGGATCTCTCATTCGTTAGGTGACAATTGGCTTTTTTCTCATCTATGTGATCTAATTTTTACTTTAGCTTCATCTTACATTCCTACAAAATCTAACCATACTATATACTTTATGTTTGCGTGTATATTTACATATACAAATAAAATGTCCATAACTTTGTTTAGTGTTGTGAATCTTAACCACTTTTTCTAGCTAAACTACATTGTACTATGAGACAAAAACCTGAGCGTGAGATTAGTTTAAGTGGCTCGACGTTATTAGTCTTCAGAAAATAGATCAAGGTTTTGATGCAAAGACTAATATAATCATTATTTATGTAGCTCGACTTTTATATCATTAAATTTAGACCAGAGGGTGGCCACCAACATTCATTAAATAAATAAATTAAATGATTAGTACCATTACCCATCAATTTGAAGGAATTATGGGTTGAATTATACAGATAAGCACATTAATACTATATTATTCAGTTTCATACTCATTTCGGCTAAGGTACATTACTTTGAACCAAAGAAACATGTAAGAAAGACGGTTGATTTTATATTAACATGATATGCTATATTATTCATGGACATGGGAATTGTCTCGGGCATTGTCGCATTGATTAATGATTATTACTTCATGAACTATCAAGGAACATAGATCCATTATTATTAAAAAAAAAAAGGAACATAGATCCATTATTATTAAAAAAAAAAAGGAACATAGAAGTGTTTTTTTTTCTCCTTTCAACTTTGATATTAAAAGTTACGTCAATACGGTAACATTGACAAATTACAACAATGAAAATTAAATTTATCAGAGAAAAATGATAATAACAACAATGAAATTTAAAATTAAGGATCTAACATGTATAATTTTTTTGAGTGTATTATCTAACAATTTGCTAACTCAATATAGAGATAATTGGGTGAGAGACGCTACTTTTTGAAGTATTTAAATTTTCGGTGTTAGGCCATATAACACAAGACATTGATAATAATTAACCATTCTTTTTTCCGATTTTAGCCCCACTTACCTCTCTCCTTTATGAAAACAATTGGCCCAACCTCTCTTTTCTGCAACATCTCGCCTCTTTTCTCTGTTTTCTCGGAGTTTTCTTGAGTCTAATGAAATATTTGGTCGATTTATGTTGTTTTTGTGCTTCTAGTCACCGGCGTTGGTTTTAAATCTATTGTTTCTCCGTCGTTTGCAACAAAATCCTAACTATCTATATTAGTCGTTTCTTCTTCCCAGATCCACTTAGTTCTTTACCTATTTTTTTAGATCCAGTTTAGATATTCACAAATCAGCATAGATCTATAATTTCGTGTTTGCATGTTCATAATTTTTCCGGGTGGTCTAATAACTGATGAAAATCTTCTCTCTTTTCTTCAGGACATGCCGGATCTAAATCTTCCTGCTAGGTTATTCCCCGCTCGTGAAAAACCTGTGGGTGAGCGTGTTAATCAATACTTCAAGCTACACACGATTAAAGCTGTCCTAAAGACTTTACAACCGACAGAGCTTGAATTGATTCGGCCGTGTTTTGGGAAATTGCTCGATTTCTACTCGAAGCTTGTCTTCTCCGGGAAATTGGCCCATTTCCTATTTTTTTTTCATGTTCATCTCTCTCTCAACTTTGCTCTAATTCATTCAAACCGATAAGAAAAACAGCGTCGTGTTTATTATTCACACTTCCATTGTTTATTCATCGGAAAAGATAATTTTTCTGATACAAATAAGAGTCTAAAACATTTTTTGGATCTTCACAAATAGATCTACAAAGTATAGATGCATATCTCATGTTCATCTCTCTCTTCATTCTGTTCTAATTTATTCAACCGATAAGAAAAACATCGTCTTGTTTATTACTCACACCGCCATTGTTTATCTATCGGAGAAGATAACTTTCAAGATACAAATAAGGATCTAAAACATTTTTTGGATCTTCACAAATAGATCTACAAAGTATAGATGCAGATCTATGTATGTGTTTATCTGTATACAAATATTAAAATCGTGTAAAATATTTATTGGGTGTCCATGCAACTAGGTTAGTTGTTTAAAAATTTCAAAGTAACTATTTATCGAGTGTCCATGCAACTACGATAGTTGTCTATATTCAAATTTGAGCTAGCTCGAGTTTAGATCTGTTGCATTTATTAACAATCACTTCCCATTTAATTTGAACATTTAAGTTGTGTCACTATGTTCCTTCGTTTATTCGTAAAGTCATATTCTCCTCCCCACGCGCACGACGTAAGTCCAGCCTGGTATTCTTGTAATTATTGTCAACTATAAGCCCTATTACAACTTTTTTTCCAACGTTGTCTCCGACGCTTGTCACTAATACTGATTTCCTAATTATTATCAAAAATAACGTCTCTGCACAAATTCACTCTACTATATAATATGTTATAGTCTCTGTTATATGGTAGAAAATAACTCTTAGATTATAAATGTGTTTTTGTCAACTTCACATATAAATTAATTCCTTAGTTAGTGACACTATCCAGAGGTAATTTTTTTTTACAAAGCATTATCATCAAAATATGGTGGTATGAGCTGAATATATAAGCTAAACAATATGCTTTTAATTATAATCTACATATACATTTTTACAGGGTTTTTTTGCATTAATTCATTTGGATCCGGGTTTTACCCGGGTTTAATTCTATCCGGATCTTGGATAAGAAATTTTAGGAATGTTGTAATAAAAAAAATCGCCATTTATGACTACAATTACTCTTATATTTCGGTTTAATCTTATTTCCTAATCTAATTTTTTCTCATATCTTTAAAAAAATCGTGGTATTGAAATATTATTTTAACACTGTCGATTTTATTATTGAAATTTAACTAATTACTATTAAATATTTTTGTTTCCTTATCTAGAATTTGATTTTGTTATGATATTATACGATATGGATACTATTTATTAATTATAAAACAATTCGTTTTTCCTTAATTATGATGCATAATATTCATACAATCTTATCTATCCAAACTAATTACTACCTTTAAACACAAATTTCATGGCATATTCCTTTTACATTAAACGATTACATATATTTTATTCCAATTTTGTTATGATTTCAAAGATACTATGCTTGGTCACCAAGATCTTTGTGACCTAACTTAAACCACTATAAATACTCGAGCTATTGGCCTCTTCTCACATCGTCGAACTCCAAAACAACGTTTTCCTAGCAAAAGAAACTTTCATCTCCCAATGGAAGCTTCATTTGCATTCCTCCAAGGTCTAAACCTATCAAGATATTACGTCATTAGGATGGTTATGAGACAAAGAAATCATTTCGATCTGGTATTGTGGTTGTTGTGTGGGCATTTACAGCTATATGTTTCTTCATAGCATTACCTACACACTCTTGGCTATGGCTCATCTCGATCTTCAAGTAAGTTGCTGCGCAGAGCATTAAATCTATTCTTTTAACTGTAATCTAAACAGTGTTGATGATAATGTTTTATGTGTTCATTGTTATAGCTCAATTCAAGTCGTCATGAGTCATGACAAGCGTCAGAACGGTTCCAAACCTTAATTTTTTTTCATAATTGATTGACTCTGCATTATTCAGATTCATGTGTTTTCTTTTCTTCACAGACAAAGATGAAGTTCACTAGAAAGAGCACAGTCGGATGGAGCATCGGGAATATTCTTCTCGACTTTGCTGGAGGACTTGCTAATAATATACAAATGGTTATACAATGACGGCAACACAATCGAAAGTTGGGTGAGGATCGTCACCGAGGATGGAGGAGGGCCAAGGAGTGGAGGAGAAGATGTGGTGGAGGAAGTCATCGTGGTCGAATGTTGCTAGATAATGGAGATGTGGAGAAGAAGATGATGGAGTAAAAGAGAGGAGTTCATGGCTTGTGATATTTTTAATATTTTTTGGGGAGTCAGAATGAAAATGAAAATGAATGTTGATCAAATATTTTGAGGTTTAAGGTTTTATCGTGTTTACACTTTTACCAATATTATCATTTTTTCAAATTAATATTTGGTGTTATTTTCAATTCTTGATTCTTTTAATCACCAAAAGAATCCGAACATTGAAGTCACGATTTCTTCGATTTTGTAATTCTTTATTGATAATATATTTTTCACAATTTTGTAGTAACTACAAAAAGTAAGTAAAACATATAGTTCTATAAATAATATATGAA